CAGAAAATGTTATTATCTAAGCATAATTTAGTGCTCAAAATGTAGTAGGCATCCTTTGTACAGCCAGTAGACCTATCCTAATATGTTCAAGGAAGCATTATAGATCACTGATAAGCTTTATTGTCGCTGTTCTCACAATCTGGTATCCTTCACAGCGCGGCCTTTCTACAGCTGGCTGGAAGGTAAGTTTTGTTTCCTGGAACAGCATGAGATGTTCTGGAGTGTTTTCCAGTGTGGCTTGTTTCCTGTCTCAGGTCAGTGTGTGGAGAAGAGAGCTTTCTACCGCCTGATATCTGGTCTCCACGCCAGCATCAACGTCCACCTGAGCGCACGGTACCTGCTGGACGGTGAGACATGCTAATGTTGCTGCGTTTCCATGTTCGTGATGTTTTTTTAACCCTCCTTTCTCTTCAGACGCGTGGTTTCAGAGGAAATGGGGTCACAATGTGTCTGAGTTCAGGCAGCGCTTCGACTCTGATCTGACGGCCGGCGAAGGCCCCAAGAGGCTCCGCAACCTCTACTTCCTGTACCTGATAGAGCTGAGAGCATTGGCCAAAGTTCTGCCGTTCTTCAATCAGCCGTCCTTCCGTTTGTACACGGGTCGACCAGAGGAGGACCAGAAACACAAAGAGCTGCTTCTAGAGATCCTAAATCTGGCCGGGTCAGTCTGCAGTTGACTGGTTTAATATTTATTGTTGATTAATGGTTCATTAGTCCAAAATTAACTCCAACCAATTAACTAATAACATCTATTTAGACGTTTTTCAATGTTATAGTTTGGCTGCCATCCAGCAGAGGGCGCCGTTGAATATTTGGGTCAGACCTCATAAGTTCTGACCCAAATGTTCAACCAGGGATGGATGTTTCTCCACAGAAAAATCTCAATGTTTTGTTTGAATTTTACAGGTTCAAGTTTAAATCTGAATCAATGCGAGTCCTGCAGCCTCACGTTTGCAGTTTCCCTGATGATTAGAAGCAACATTCAGACAATATGTGAGCGTTAAGGCTTTATTGCAGCGATTTATTTTGGTTCCTGTTTATTCCTCCAGATCTTTTCCTCTGCACTTTGATGAGACTTCTCTGTTTGCTGGAGATGAAAAAGAAGCAGCACAACTGAAGGTGGGAAACAATTAAACATGTCAGTGCAGTTTTATACAACTAAGACATTAAGATAATTCTTAAATGTCTAATTTTCCAAAATGTGTTGGAAAATAATCCATGAAACATCATATTGGATCAGAAATCTTGTTGCGTTTGTTCTGGCCAGCAGAGGGAGACAAAAATCCTGCGATTTCAACGCAATCAGTTGTGCACGTGTTTTAACACCTGTAATAATGTTTTTCTTTAAATGTTGCCATAGATTAATCTATTTAATTGTTTATCTTGTGAATTTTCACTTTTTCCACCAGGAGGACATCAGGCTGGCGTTTCTCAACATCTCCAGGATCATGGACTGCGTCGGCTGCTTTAAATGTCGCGTCTGGGGAAAATACAGGTGCGCTCGAGCTTAAAAAGTGAACATTTCATTTTAAAATCCTCATTGAGAACTTCAGTGGCCAAAGGTAGTTATTTATTTTAAAGAAATACATTTTAGTTTCTGGTTTAAAATAAGATAAATACTGTATTGTTATGCAATGTTGCAGTTTGCATAGAAAACAAAATGAAAATGAAAATTTTGTTGTTTCTCCTTTTAAGAAGAGAAGGATTGTTTCCACTTTCTGCAGGGAAACGTTTAGCTGGGAAACATTTGGAGTCGTCATTAGAAAAACAACAAAAAGTCAGTTTCTTACCGTATCTGTACTCTCCGTAGGAAAGGTCGTTGTATGACTTTGATGTAAAAATGTTATCAATTCACCAAATTAACTCCAGGTTCAGTTTAATGTGAGCTTGTGATGCATTGAGCCTCCTGTAAGCAGCTTTTTGCAAAGCGAATATGTTTATATGGGAAAAAACGTAAATTATGTGCATGTATTTTGATTATGCGCAACTTTGGATCAAAAGATTATTTTAGATTACAGAAATTTAGCTGGAAATTTGGAAAGGATGTATGCTGAACACCAGTGGCTGTTCAAAAACTTACATTGTGACTAACTTTGGAAGTTTTGTCTGAGAAAAATCCTTTTTCTCTGCATGTATAGAAGTTGGGCATCATGTCTGTTTTTTGTTTTGCTCTGTGTGTCTCGGCCAGACTCAGGGATTAGGTACGGCTCTAAAGATCCTGTTTTCAGAGCGACAGATTGAAGCGCTGCCCCAGTCCAGAGAGCAACGACCCAGTTTCCAGCTCAACCGGCAGGAAGTCGTCTCTCTCCTCAACGCCTTCGGAAGGTGGGAATCTGTCCCTTTCATAATAAAACATTTTCCATCGACTTTACGGGGACCCATTGTGTTTCCTTGAACAAGTTCATGATCGATACGAAGCATCAGATTTTACACGAAACCGTTTTTAGATGAGTTATCCTGTTTTTGGGTTCTGTCACCTTAAAAACAAATCAGCTGCTTCTGGCCACGCCCCCAACTAGGGTTGCTAGGTAACAGGCTGGGGCTGCTGGGTAACGACGCGTCGATTCAAAACATCCTGATGGTTTTGAAACGGCTCATTTTCCAGACACCAAAAAACACAGATCGGAAGAACAGTTGTTGTTTTGGTTTATAGAAATGGTTGAAACACAAACTCAACTATTTAACAAAAGCGTAAAATAATGGGTCCCCTTGAAATGTGGTTTCCAGAAAGTTCTTGAAAACTAAATTAGTTTCTTCACGCTTCTCTACAAATGTGCGGAAAACGTTCTCAGGATTTCCACGAGCATCAGAGAGCTGAAGACCTTCAGATCGCTGCTGGCAGAGGACCGATGAAGACGAGGAGAATTTTTTAGACCCTCATCCACAAACTGCACTATGGCCGCCATTTTAATCCGGTCATATTGTTATCAACGTCTGCAGTGATGAGGAAGACTCAGCTGTTATCAACTCCACATATTTTCCTGTAAAATGGCTTTTTTATGTTGAATTTAAATAAAATTTGAGATTTATGTGAGATTTAAATGCCCTTTATGTTAACTTATGTGAAATAAAAATTGACTGTATTTGCAGATTTTTATTTAACAAATGACTTTAGTGCATAAACCCAATAAAATCCCCTCAGAAAAGTCAATGTTGTTTGATTTAAATAAAAGTCTAAAAAGGGTTTTGCTCTGTGGGTGGCGCTGTTGTTCAAGAAACTAAACCAACAACATGTTTTTAAAGTAATGGTTAAAACACAACAAATACGTTTTCCGTAATATTAGCGACATTTTCACAGCTATAGATGTCAATTTTTCATTTTATTTAAGAATTTTAGGAAGTTTTATTGTTTTTTAGTTTCCATTTTGGACATTTAGAAACAGAATAACAAAATCATCTTGTTTTGGTAAACCAAAAATGTTCACAAACAACTGATTGGCAACGTAATTTCAACTTTTATATTTATTTTCTTTTAGTTTTGATAAATGCCTCATCCTGAGATGGTTTCTGACCATCTAGGAGAAAATTTGGGAAAATTGATGACAGAATGTTTATGTTTATAAATGCAGAACTAAATCTTGAAAATTATGGAAGAAATTTCCCATCAATAGTCAAGTTCCTAACTGTTGATGGGAAATTTCTTCATTTGTAACATTGTTACATTTCTAACAATGTTCTAACATTTCTAACAATGTTCTCTTTGTTACAACAATAAGAACAAGAGATTCTGAAAATGCTTAGTCATCTGTTGCTATGGAAACTCCCGCCTTTTCGTTTGTATTTCCTTTTAATTTTTGTGTCAGGAGAAATGCCGGACTAAAAATCAAAAAAAGAAGAAATGAACGACTGCAGACTACAAATCCAGTTTAAATTTTGTAGTTTCAAACAATAAACTGCAATAAATATTTGCTGTATTTTTCAGAGACTCACTGTCCTGTTGGATCGCATTTATAGTAGAGACTGAACACCTGTATGGAGCTAAATTGGATGCTGTTACCACAAAGCCGAGTTGGCAGTATTTTATTTCTTCAGGGTGGGACAGAAGCACCTGGATACCTGGACCAAAAAAACAAAACAAATCCCAACTCAACATGGACCAAATTTAAAACGGGTTTTGGTTGAACTTTGACTTATAGGTCCTAAAAAAACAAAGAAAAAACTCTTTAGTCTGATTCAATCAACTCTAAAAATCACCTTATCTGGTAACTATTAATATAATATTTTGCATGTTTTATTGTCTTTCCTCTTTAAACATACAGTTTTTAAGTTTCTACCTCTGACTCAAGCAGGTTTTTGCTGCGGCTGTTTAGTCATTTAAACTTTTTTAATGTAGTTCTTACAAAGGTTATTGAAAATAATAAAACTTCAATCTGAAAAGTGGTTTTGAACAGTTTTTACTTGTTTCAAATCTTTGCTTTCAAAATGTTTTCAGTCTCAATTTTTTTCAGTTTCAGATCTTTTTTTTTAATTAAAAAATATTTTTTTTAGATTCATAACTATTTTTTGTATTTTTTTAAACACTTTATTGCCCCAATTTAGCTCCATACATGGAAATGAAAATGACTTGCACTTGAATTAGTTATTTGTAAATTAATTGAGACTATATTTCTGAGAAGTTAAACTTTATTTTGTCAGACATTTTTGTCCCTCTAATTAAAACAGTTTTTACTCAGAGAAGTGAAAATTCCTACGGTCCTGTAAGGCAGCATTGAGCCCTGCGGCAGTCAGTGAAGGGTTAAGCTCTGTAATAGGATGAATGGATATTGTGGTGAGCAGCATCTGATTACAGAAACGCCAGCAGCTCGGAGGGGGAAGACGCTCAATATCAGCAGGAGAAGCAACATTTAATTCCCCCTGTGACGAAAACAAACTTCCTTCTCTCCTTTATCTGCGCAGAAAGCTCAAAGTCAGGCTTTTTTCAGTTTTGACCCGGAGGGAAGAGGAAAAGCTCGCAGTTCTGTCGCGGGATGAATGAGGAGGTTTGGGCATAAATGCTGAAGGGGGCCGACTGTCGACGCACTAAACCCTGCAGGATGTCGCAGTTTGCGGAGGTGTGAATTCAGCGGCCAGGCGGCGGGTTTTCAGGCGAATATCGACCTTTCCCAGCTAAATAAGAAGAGTTTGAGGCTTCAGCTCGGCTTGTTCCGCCAGCGCGGAGTTAAACAGGTAAGCCTTCTCACCTGGATGCAGCTTTTGGTGTTTTAGTTCGGAGTCTGAAAGCGAGAAAACCCTCAAACCTTTCAGAAAGTCACATTTTAAAGCTGCCAGTCTGAAAACTCTTCAGACTCTTTCCAATGCAGTTTGTCGCCTATTAAAAGTGCCAAGACCCGCATTTCTATTCGTTTCTGCTTTTATAAAACATAAAAACATGAATCAATGTGTCAAATGACCCGAAAATATGTCCACGTTTGATGACATCACATAAGGCAGGTGATCAGGCTCTTTGATAGCTTGCATTTTTTTCATCGTTATTCACATCATTTTGAAATAAAATATTTACTTCTAATGGTTTTAATAGTGTTTTGTTCATCTCCAGAAAACAGAAGAACAAAATTTAAATCAGTTTTAAACACGTTTTTAACACAGAGAAGTAAGAAATAACTTAATTTCTTGTCCATTCTTGTCTCTTGTGATGCCATTAACTTAAATTACCACAAAGCCGAGTTGGCAGTATTTTATTTCTTCAGGGTGGGACAGAAGCACCTGGATACCTGGACCAAAAAAACAAAACAAATCCCAACTCAACATGGACCAAATTTAAAACGGGTTTTGGTTGAACTTTGACTTATAGGTCCCAAAAAACAAAGAAAAAAACTCTTTAGTCTGATTCAATCAACTCTAAAAATCACCTTATCTGGTAACTATTAATATAATATTTTGCATGTTTTATTGTCTTTCCTCTTTAAACATACAGTTTTAAGTTTCTACCTCTGACTCAAGCAGGTTTTTGCTGCGGTTGTTTAGTCATTTAAACTTTTTTAATGTAGTTCTTACATAGCAAAGAACAAATATGCACATTAGTTGGAAAGATGCAACTTCTGGTAATTATTTGCTGTTCCAGATTTTTGCAAGACTTGATTCATTTCCAGAAGAAAAGCTCTGATTGATTTATTTTAATCTACAAATTTGATTAGACCTCCATCTAAACACTTATGTAGCTTTTAAATTGTCAATGTAAAGTTAATTTACTTTGCTCAAATTTTTATTTGTTTGTTTTGTGTCACACAGAAACGCCACTAAATTAGCTTTGATTCAAAACTATTCAAACTTTTGTGCATCCAAAACAGAAATTTTCATTCAAATGTGGTGCAAACTTTGACAGGAATTTCCCTTCAAGTATTTTTATTTAAGTTGTTTCTTGTATACAAAAAACACATTTAGCTACGAATATTCAGTTTAAAATACAAATGAGGGATCAAATAATTATTTAATTATTCCCATAATTAATCAGATTAAAAAATGGCACATTTTGGTGTTTCATTTATCCAAGTAAGTTTTCTTTATACAGAAAAATTGCATTTAAAAATGAAAATAACTCATTGCCTGAATGCAATATCATAATATTCTTTACATGGATGCTTGAACATCAAACCAAAATATGCATCTGCAATCAACTTTTCAGAAGATTTTGTCTCAAATAGGAATGCAAACTTTGAAATCAAAATTAAATATCTTTTTTGCATCCAAAGCAGAAATTTCATCAAGATCTGGTGAAAATTTTGACAATAATGTCCCTTTAACCATTTTTATTTATGCTCCAGTTCTTGCTTGTAGACAAAAAGACACGTTTGGCCATAAATCTTCAGGTTGAAGCTCATATTTTTGTCTTTTAAGTTCACGGATCGATGGTCGTCCCTTCAGGCGGCGGCAGAAGTTGCCCGCTCAGCATTTATGTGACAAAGGAGAATCAATACGGCGGACTGCGCTGCAGCTTCAGACGCAGCCGTCGATATCTGGGCGACTGCAGCGGGTTCAGCTGATGCAATGCAGATTTACAAAGATACTGATGTTCTTCATGTGAGTTTATTAATCTGTAGGCAGATGGATTAAAATAAAATCTACACATTGATAAATCTCTGCTGTGTTAGAAAGAGGAGCAGCTCCAACTCTGGAAGCTCCAGATTTATTTTTGGGCTGTTGATGGGAGCAAAGAGGCTCAGCAAACCTCCTGGAAATAAAAACAATGAGCTAAAAAAACCCTGGAAGGCTTTGTGCCGCCGCAGATCTTTTTAAGTCTCCCTGAGGGATTTATTCTGCTAACGGCTGGAGAAAAGCTTTCTGCGCGTTTGTTGTTGTTCTACATTGTGATTTGTGGCCTTTAACAGTTACATCATTTGCCACAGTTATGAAGCTAACAGGGAAAATGGGTTAAAGTTCAACTTAACATAGTTTTTGTATAGATCTAACACGGGGGTCCAAATTTTTTGCCACGTGGCCAAAACTGTCGACTCCAAAATCGCCGCTGAAAAACCCAAAACCCTAAAATCAAATCCTAAACTTGAACGGGATTTTTACAACATCATATTGTAGATGGGGAAAAAAGAGTGCATTTCTGCCAAACACTCAGAAATTTTGTGATGTCAGAAATTTTCTACAAAATTTTTGTCATTTCAAATTCAGAAATTTTCAAGTTTTTTTTTTGTAAAAAAAATTCTGACTCCAATTTCAAAATCTCAATTTTTTTTTCTTGCAAATCTTTAACTTTTGGAGCTCAGCTTGTTTTTTGGCCGTAGTTGATGCTGTAATAAATCCTTCAGTTTCTTCTGACTGAATACTTTTATTTTCAGTACTGCGAACAGGATTTGGGTCACTTTCTATCAACATTTTTGCCGTACTTAGCCAAGTGTAAGAAATAATCAAAAGCTGATTTGAGAGGTAAAGTTGGCTTTTCATTAAAGTTTCTGGATAAACTTGGTTTTAACTTTTGTTAAAACTTGGATATAAAAAGATAAATACTTTGTGTGTGTCATTCATCTGCATCAACAGGACAATTTTTAATAATTTTCGAATTGCAGTTGGGGACCACACAAAAGCAATCTAAGAGCCACAACTGGCCCCTGAACCGCACTTTGGACACCCCTGATGTAGGCTTCATTTTAAATCCAAACATAAACTTATTCGGTACGAACATTTTATCAGCTTGTTTTCCTTCTCTTTTTATCAGATCATCTGATGTTTCTGCTGCTTCCAATCATTAAAAATCACGTCATCCTGCCAGCTGGAAGATATTTTGTTTCATTGTATTTTGTTTCATTTTATTTTAAATATGACGAAAACAAACCAGGTGCAACAAATTGACTGTTATTTTGCATGCAGATAAAAACTGCACAGGGTTTTGTTTTTCATTTTCAAAGAGATTTAAATCAGGGCTGCAAGTAACGATTATATTCTGACGATTAATCAGATAAAAAAATTCCCACATTCTGTTGGTTTTTCATGTTTCCACTTAAGCTTATTTTACAGTATTAGAATTGCACTTAAATGCAAACAATGTAATTATTTTTCTTAAATAAGAAAAAAGCTTTTTATTGCCAAATAAGCAACAACACTTGTACCTGCAGCTACTAAATTACTCTGCTTGGCTTAACATCAATTCAGTCTATGGCTAATTTGGAATAACTGATAATTAGATGCAAAAGGTGCTTAATAGGACATAATCAATAGGATAAAATAGATCGGGATTTTTCTTGACAATTTCTGGGGAGAACGAATTTAAAAAATTTATGCTTTTTTTGTTTTAAATGCAAAATGTACATATTTCTTGTACAGTTTTGGCTTAATTACTGCTCTGATTATATTCCTTAAGCAAATTGCCTTTATTTGAGTCTGCATGCTCCAATTAACAATCAATTACTACATTATTTGACAATTATTTCAGTAATGAATAGTTTTTAATCATATCAGCTCTAATTTTAATATGATGCTCTTTATATTCTCTCTTGTTATAGTAGAAAACAACAAATCTTACCAAGTATTTTTGTTTTAGTTTGTAGTAAAAACATCTTAGTACAAACTTGCATGTAACTTTTTAGCTTAAATCAATAATTTCTTAATATTGATGAAAAACGTTCCAGTGGCAGATAAAGTCACAACATGGGAAATGTCTTGCTATAAGTTAAGTAATAATTCAATGTTATTGACTTTAAACAAGCTCTTTTCTTGCTGAAACGTTACTTGGAAGTTTGTCTTATTTCAAGCGTTCTAAGATACTTCTGCTAGAAACTAGACTAAGATACTTTTTGAGACTGTTAATTTTTGCGGTGTGAGGGTTAAAATCTCCTGTCTGTGTGAGAAACGTAGTTCAGGAGACGCTCTAATCTCTGGCAGCCGCAGCAGGTTGAGTTTATCCGGGCCGGAGGCGGTACCGGCCCACAGTGGCTCCAGTGATGCGGTTCTGGCCAGAGATGAGCTTCAGGAACGTGCGTGTGCGTGTGCGTGCGTGTGTGTGTGTGGGAAAGCAGAGTAAATTTTTTCCTGGACTCTGCTGGTCGGCTGCGTTTTCTTCTTCTTCTCCTGTTTGATTCGGCGCCGGGCAGAACAGCTCAGTTGAGCTTCACTGATCCGTGGACAAAAGTGAAATGTTCATTAGTGCAATTGTCCTTTTGACAGGTGTGTGTGTTGTCTTGCTGTGATGGGAAGGAACTTTTCATTTATTTATTTAAAGTTCACTTCAACTAAATCAGCAGCCATGCTTTTGTTTTTTCTATTTTCCTAACATGCCAACAGACCAAGCAATGATCGAATTATGTGAATAATTTTAAAATTTACATCATCAGACGAATCAAAACATAAAGTTAAGTGGAAATTTTGGCATTGTAAGGACTTGAATGACAATAATTTATATTGCAATCAGGCAAGAGAAACATTTAACAAATCAGTTTATTTTAACGAAAAACGTTTGAAGCTTTAACAAAAACTGCAGGTTTGTGTCTGTCTGGTGCATTTCTGGTTAAAACATGTTTTTTAATTCAGTAGGTAGAAAATCCAGAAATTTACTTAAGTAAAAGTAATAAATGCAGCGTCATAAAAATACTCCTAAGAAGAAGAGTGAGCCAAGTGAACTAGTTGCAGCCCTGGTTTCCAATCTGGTTTTGGTGAACGCTTTAATAAAAATGGCTGACTCTCTCTCTCTGTCCAACCTGAAGTGGTCTTCCTGCAGGTTTGCC